ATATATACATATATGTTGAGTGGGGCTCACAGGTGCAAGCATTTTGAGCGCAAGATTAATTGAAGAAAGTGAGTCCATGTAGGCAGGATTCTTCACTGATTACCCCACCACTGATGGCTATATCTGCCCAGTTTATCAACTCTCATGGAACAAACTAGAAAAGGAATGGTACATGCTCGTGCAGAAAACGTAGACTCATTCAGCTCAAAATCATATGTAGGTAAGTGAACCGCAAACTCAATATTGCCACAGTAACCAACCGAAGTTCACGAGGACATACTCCAACACGCATTGCATGAACACTAATAAGATGGTAAAATACTGTGGACCAATTCATCACTCACATCAGTCGATAACAGGCACTACTGAATACTGCATGAACGAAACCATATAACCGGAAAATGCTCACTCAATAGCATGTATCCGAAACTGGTTAAGAATGGCTTGCAAGCTTATTGCCAAGTTTGGGAAATCATTCGGAAATCCCTTTCACAGCGTCGCCAAAAGTAATTGCTCTTACGTTAACCAATTTAACGGCCCGCAGTTGCGGCAAATTACGTGGTAGTGCAACAAATGCCTTTCAAGCCTGTATGTCTGTGTGAGAGGTTGTGTGTTGCTTTTAGTTTGGCGTCAGGAAACTGATGTTTTTTATTTGTTGTGAATGAAGTAATACTGCATTCCGTGTCTCCTTACCTCAAGGTCTGGCGGAAGGGCGCTGATAACTGGATCATCGTAAAAAATAGTCCGCCGGTTGTCACAGTCTTTCGTATGTGGATTGGCATGTGTAATTTCTTTACTCGCTATACTCGAAGACTGTACGAATATACACAACTCTCAATTCTCTTCAGAATAAGAGTTGTGTTAAAACAAAATCACGAAATAGACGAACATTTACTATCTGTAGTCCAGCATGTGTGGCTCGCAGGATTGATGCAGTATTCAAACAGGACCACAATGATGAGATGGAATTGTCAGTAACCTACTCTTCATCATCGTATACAACAAACTTTGCCCCCAGATAATACATGCAAATATGAAGTGATGAACCCCATTTGATTTTTGAATCGTTGTGCAAGAAAGTCGGGTGACCTTTAGAGTTACAAGTGCGTTGTAGTAGAGCACCAGTGAAAAACAACGAAAACCTGATTCGGAATTGAAGATTAACAAACGCAGTTGTCCTGAGATTTAATCTTCCTAACAGCACAAAGAATGACAGCCAATATAATCAGATTAACTTGATAAAGAAATTTGGAGTACTGTTTTGATCCACATATGTGTAAGCATGCGTGTCCACCGATGTCCCTGGTCAACGCAAGGAATGGGCATAATTATATTGGGTCAACGAGACCTACTTTGTTAAATCCGGCAAACGAAGTACCTTAGGTAGAAGTACGCATAACGTTTACTTGTGGAAACTAATAGACATTTCACATTTCACCAATAGGCATGTCAAAATCAATCATTCTGTTCCTTTTTCATATATAAGTGAGTGGGAGTTCCTTGACAATATTTAGTTAATCCACAGGATAAGTTGTTGTTCAAGCATGATCAGCCTTATACTGACAACTCTTCTGTTTGCAGTGGTTGCGGCCGAGGGTACAAATATTTCATTTTTAAAAATACTTGTGTTATAGAGGAGGAAAGGCCGAAGTTCACTTGTTATCATACGCATGGGATAGACTTCAACAAAGATGCTGCAGGAACACACCCAAACTGTGGTCACTGCATCGTAGGTTTTCCTAAAGATTCATTGTTTACCCATTGTTTACCCAGTTCGAGCGTTCTAATAATCATCAGTCGTTTTTGTTTCACTTCAGTATGAAGAGACGTTTGAAGAAGGTAGGCTAGTCGCGGTCTCCCGTATGTGTGTGGGAAGACAATGCGTCTCTTACGAGCACGTGTTTGATGGTAACGGGCAAAACCGCATCTGCTGTTCTGGGGACCTGTGTAATGAAAACAAGCAAACAGGTGGGTTCCCATTT